ATACTTCTGCCACATTTGGCCCTCTTTTCTCAACCTCCAATGCTAATAATAAATCACGTGGAATTCTCGTTTCCGTATTCATTGACCAATTTATACTTTTTGACCATCGATAATGTTTATTTTTAAAATGTGTAAGATCTTTTATAATTTCATTCTTCTGAAAATTTTCCATAATGGTTTACTTTATATTCTTTTTTTCTGATTATTAATTAAATATTAACAAGTTTTTCTTATTTTCTTTTCTCTTTTATTGCCTCTTTTCTTAATATTCAATATTTGTCCTTTTTAATATTGATTCTTAACTTTTTAAATATTTTATATTAAATTATCTTTTTAATCAGTATTTTTTAATACTTTTTAATACTGGTAATACACTTATATTAATTCTGAAGTAAATGTTCAATTTAAATTTGTTTCTTTTTTAACAATATTCATAAACTAATGGAATATTTTGAATGAATTTTAACAGATATTAGTGATACATTTAATAAATATACATTTACAAATATTTCAAATTAATGATGCCTTGTTAAAGAAAAGAGTTTTTATGAAAAATTTAGAAAAGCAAATTTTTCCTTAAACTCATCGCTATATTTAATTAGAACTTGAATTAAATTTTGCTACAGTGCAAATACTTACAACAGTCATTAAAGCTCTCATTAAATCATTTTAATTATAATTTATAAATTATGATAAACTGAAAGATTTCTTCGCAAGCAGTAATTATTTACCTTTTCTACACATTTAAGTGAACAAAAACTACTGGTAATAATAATCATAATAATAGTAATAGCATAAAAATATATAAACTCAAAATCATAATTTAAATTGATATAGAAATAAGAAAATCTTGTTAAACCTGTTCATCATTTAACAAATTATAACGAATGCACTTCAATAGTGAACGACAATATGGCATACGTTTTACGATCTATCAAAATCCATAGTTTAAGAAGAATCAAACATCCATCTAACACACATATAGAAATGTATTTTTTTTTTCTATTTAAAAAAATTTGAATTTAAATTTAGCAAAAATTTGTACTTTATTAATAAATACAAAATATTTTACGTATTTAAAATGTGTAACATTCAATTAGTATACTCATCGTTTACTTTCAATAAATCAGCATTCAAAATTTCAAATAAATGATTACATTTAAGACGAAAATAATCAAGGTTGTAACCATTGTTTACAATGAATTTACAATATACAACACATATTCAAAAGTCTGTAATAAAAGATAGTAATAATAATTTTTGTTCCTTATTTTTAATAAAGAAAAGATGGATTATTTTTTCTTGTTTTTTTTTATTATTTTTTTCAATCTTCATTTTAAATAAGACAAAAAAATTATGTTTAAACTTTTTTTATTTGTTCAGGTAAATATTTGGCACACATTCGCCAAACACTAATACAATTTTCTTCATTGATACCATCAACAAAATTTTGCACAACACATCGTTTTATGCTGTCTAATTCCCAATCATTTGCCTAAAATTTGTATTTTTGGAAAATTTCACAAGTTTACAACAAAAGTGACATAAAATTCAAAAAAAAGAATATCAGTGATTTTGGTTCATTTATTCTGCTTCCTTTTAAAGTGTTGTGAGATAACTGTTAGATATTATCAGTAAAACTTAGCATAGAGATATTTCATAATTTCTCAATGGTGATTAGCAAATGTTTTTGTATTTGAGTTGTTTAATTTTGAATTATTGAATTTACTTTTATTTGAACAAATAATGTGTCAATAACATTATTTGATGACCAAGATTGTAATTATGTTTTTCTTCAACATTGAAATGACTAAGTGTAGTTTTTCATTATGGAAAAATTTTTTTTTGTTTTTAGCATAAATATTACTAACAAACTTGATAATAACAATCTTTTAATTAAATTTACAAATAGGTAATAAAGGAATAATGGCATTCATTATAAGAGAAATACTTTAAGGCATACCACTTTAAATTTTGCTCCAATTGAAGCCAATCTTTTACATTAATATTTTCATATTTTCAAAGCGTAAATATTTCTTTTATCTAAAGTATAATAAATTAATTTCAATTTCACTCTAAATTTCTTGAGCTTTTCAAAAGCAAAAGAATTATATAAAACTTATTAAATACATTATGTAAATATATCACTAAAAAAGTAACGAAAAAAATTTTAAAAGAAAATAAAAACAAATTTACAATATCAATTGAAACTGATGTATGTATGGTATATGTTGGGTAGTTTTCATTGAAAAGCATAAATGGAATGAGATAAGGACAACGATGTTCAACAAATCGGCTATTTAATCGATATCTAAAATGAGTGGAAATACCGTATTTTTGAATAGTACAGTATTGAGGATTATTGAGGTACAGTAAATGATACAGTAACTGCAAATTATCAGAATAATACTTAATTGGACTTTAATAAATAGTAACGTTATAAATAATCACAGACAACATCTGTATTTGTGTGATGAATAAATAACAAATGTTGCAGATTACAATAAACATTTGCTATTTATCATTAAACTACCACAAGAAGAAATGTATCAATCGCTTTAATACATTAACGAAAACAATACAGTAAAATATTGGCATAATATAGAGTAGTATATTCACTACTAGCGATAATGAAGAAATAATACCAAATTTATTAGCCATTTGAATAACAATAAAAGTAATAAAACTTTCTATTCCACTACAATGAATTAAATATATAAATATTTCTTCTCGTCGTCTTCCCTTACTTTATTAACCGAGTCTTCTACCGATCATTATCATCAGTAATGATAACACAATCACATAATAGATCATCACTATCGCCATCATAAACATTATCTATTCCCATGTTACGGAATACATTAGCGTATGACTTGAGCGTTATATCGTAATCCTTGTCAACCATCATATAAGTCAACAGAACACAACGATAACCGCTTTTAAGGAAAAGAAAATAAAAGTTATCACTTTTGAACACTTTATATATGCCGTTTCTGTAGTATTAGATTTATGTAAATTTAAAGTCAAATACTTCTAATTATGGTACTTATGAATTGCTAATACACAAATATATGGTACCTTTTCTCTTATAGTAAGTCTATGTTATTTCTATGATACTATTTTCAAATATACCCTATAGCAAATTTATGAATTTTCTATGATGTTTATCTCAACTGTACGGTATTTTATGAAATAAACCCACCTCCTACGGTATTTTGTAGAATACACCTGTCTTCTACAGTATTATACTTTTCGATATACATTTCACGTGTAATTGTTTTAGAATGCAAATAACAGTAAACATTTGTAAATGATACTGAAATGGATGAAATCAGCGCTAATTTGGATGATATGTAAGCAAACAGAATATGTTGTATACGAGATGTATGTTTGTGATAGGGAATGGCTAATGTAGATCGGATTTTTAAGACATAAAATGTGATGCAGTATAGATATATGTTTGAAGTATTTCAGCATTTCAAAATTTGTAAGTGTAAAAATACTACAATTTTTAACTTTGCTTGTCATTTACGTAATCATAATGGAACTGATCTGCACTACTTCTGACAAAAGCGTCAAATGACTCAGATGGCTTAAATGTAATGATAAATGATGATAGCACCTGTATATTTTAACAGATGTAACTTTACAAAAATCAGGCTTTTTTTCTAATTTTATGATCGAACATTAAACATTTCAGCCAATAGTTATTACTGAAAATGAATTCATTTGTATTTCATAAATATAATTATATTGAAAATGATTTCATTTTGCTATTTTGTTTTTTGTTTTTACCTTTCCAATCATTTTTTAATTTTTGTTTTTAAAATTTTATAATTTTTATTTTTAAAGCTTATTTTTAAAACTTTTTCTAATCATTTATTTATTTAAATAACAAAAAAAGAAACAACACTGAAGAAAATATTGAAGGCATTTTAAAAATCGTTTATTAAATTTGAAAAGAAATTGAGAAAAATGTTTATTAAAAAAATGCTATGTATTAATTTTGCAAACTTCATCACACCTAAAATCAATCATTAATGGCCAGTAATTATTAAAGTTTTTCTTCTCATCACAAAATTCTTCTCTTAACAGTACTATCAAATTGTTAAATAATATGAATCATTTTAAGCATTTTTTTTTTTTTTTGCTTCGATTTAATGAATTGTTTATTAAACAAATTTCTTCCAAAGGAATCGATAATTTGTCTTTTGTTTTCATTTTATAAAAATGAATTTGATAAAATAAAAAAAAAGCTAACATCAACTTTAAGTAAATTTTCAAAGATTTTGAAAAACAAAAGTAACATTTGATAAAGCTATTCCTATACATCAGCTATATAGGTAGATGGATCTTTATTATTTAAAATCACTGAACAAGATGAAATGACTCGTCCGATCCGATTTCTTGCAATAGCTATATACTTACCTTCATCATCAACTGTACAATTATTGATTCGTAATATCCACCAATCATTTTTTCGATCAATATCTGTAAATAAACATTTTTACAAATCATAAACAAGATTAGTTTTTGCAATATTTTATTATGAATTTATCATGCAAATCATTAAAGTAAGTTATAATTTCCTAATAGAAAACAACAAAAATTTCATGCAAAGAATGTATATGCAGGATTTTAATGTTTTCAAATTTCGATTGAATTATTAAATTTAAGCTTCTTTTATCACGCGGTTTATCTTTCTTTGATAGAATTATATTTTAATCGTGAACAATTTTATGAAAGTTATAAGCGATTTCCAAATTAATTAACGTCTTTAAGAAACAATAATCAAAAATGATATGAAATTGAAATGATCACATTTACCGTTTCATACTTTCAATGTATCTGTATAATTTAAAAAATAGCTTCTTAAAAAAGCTTACTTATTCGTTGATTGCTTGTAATGCGACGATTGCGAAAATGAAAGGTAACATAAGGTATTGGATAGCCTGACACCTGACATGCTAACTGTAGACAACCGTAAATTTCATCATATTTCAAATTTGAAAAAATTTTGGTTCAATTCCAGCTAAATCATCATCTGCAAAAAAAAAAATAAAAGAAAGAAAGAAAGAAATAAGGTAAATTGAATTATTTAATAATAATTAACTAAATATAATCATTCATTTTCTATCCCTTTGATTTATTGTAATAAAATTTAATAATTTTATACATACCATTGACATGCAATACACTAATATCAGAAGCAATTGAATTTGTTACTTCTACAACGCATATAATATCGCCCGAATCTGATATATCACAGTCAAATATTTCCAAACAACAATCGAAACCTTTGCGCCAATATCGATATCGTCCACCATTTGTTATTACTTTTGTACCAATATACCAGAAAACATTCAAATCAAGATTATCTGTAATGCTTTTTCTCATTTCAACTATATTTTCATTATTTCAGAAAAAAGAAATATTAAAAAATTTTGTTTGTCTTTTTTTCTCTTTATGTTTCTTAAATACAAAAAATTTTAATTGTTTCTATGTTGTCACATTTTACGTTTTATCTTCAAATATTACCTTAATTAGTCTAATATTTTGGAATTGTATATTGGACTGTAGGACAAAAGAAAAAAATTTGCTTTGAGCAATATTAAATAGTTTAAATTTCATCAGTTTACCAGTATGAAAAAGTATGCTGGCAGAAGTAATAGAAAAAATTATTAATAGCAAAATTTGATTTGCCATTAATTCTGATAATTTATCAGTTAATCGTTAAAATATTGTTGTAATTAGCTTAATATTATATGTCTAATAATCAATTATTTAAGATTCAATATCTTTTATTATTTACAAATTTTTAAATAATAATACAATTGTTTGTAAACAATTGTTTAAAAATTACAAAGTAAATTTTACCAAATAATATGATCATATCACCGGTACGTATATTCCATTCTTTCTTTAGCATATTCACTGATAAACTGTTAATAAATGAACTTTTTGGCTCCTACAAAAGCAATCTAATAAGAATAAAAAATGCATGAAATTGTCTTAAAAGATAATCATAAAGACACTGCACGAAATATTTCTAATTTCTTTAAATAAAAGCTTCAAACTTTAAATAAAATTTTTTTTTAAAGAAAAAGGCATTGTCCTAAAATTATTGTAAACGATGAGTCATTTCATTGAAATTTTTGCTTTGCAATCTTTTTTTCGCAATCTAAGTTAATTTTAAGTAGTAATTTTGACTCTTTATTGAAAGATTACTGCTTGATCTTAATATACTTGAAAATATTACAATTAATCTATATTTTTAAGTTGAAATTTAAAAGTAATTTGTAAATTTTATTACTTTTACATATAAAAGTTTTTATGCAAAATTTTGTCTTTTTTTATTTTTACTACTCAAATGACATTAATAAATTACAAAATAAAATAAGAAATAAAGTAAATTTTGTGCTTACTTACGTAAGCAATGCAAATTGTTTAAAATCAATTAGCCAATTAATTGTGTATTGAAATTTTTAATCAGTAATTAATTATCTATTGCTTCTCTTCCAACTACTTTTTTAGTGGTTTATTTGAAAAAAACAAAACAAAAATTTGTACACTGCTTGTAAATGATGTTTTATACAAATTTCTGGTTATTTTCCAATTTTGTTTCAAATAATGTTGAATTCGTTTGTTTTGATACTATTTCCATGGCTGTTGCTTGCTTTGAAATCTGTAAATTGAGAGATCAGCACGAGAAATAATAAAATGTTAATTAAAAAATTAATTCAAATCTTGAATAATGAAAATTTAAATTTAATAAAATTTAATTTAATTTGACCAGCAAATTATAAGGCATTTTCTATCAATTGTTATGATACAATGATGCAATAAATGTTATAACTTTATACAACATTAATATTTATATAATACTAACACTAAAAAATTTATATAAGGTAAAAAGTAATAAAATTTAAATAATTGAACAAGAAATATTAAAATTTAAATATTTGAGCAATAATTTATTGCATTTTACCATAACGGAAATGATGGCATTTGAGAGAAGCAAGAAATAATCGTCGCAGCGATCGTTTTTGGACACATCGTACGATGCAATTCTCATTTGCATTCAACTGAAAGAAATTATTAATTTAATTTTTTTCTTTTTGAGATAATATAATTTTATTTATAAAAAAAAATCAGAATATTTAAATATATGAATGAGTATTATGAATTCAATGTTACAATAATTTGCATGCATGCACTTACACGTGCATTCACGTGAAAAAAGAAATATAAATTAATTTGGCAAATAATTCTAATTTATGTAGAAAGAGCAGTATAATTATATTTAATAAATAAATTTAATTACATTAAACATTAACTGATTGTAAATTGTTAAACATACGAAAATATTTGTAATACTTTTTATTTGAAATCAGTTTTAATTTAAAGGTTTTTAAAAGTTGGAAGGAAGCAGAAATAAAATGAAAAATTTCATTTTGTTAGCAATTATTAAAATAAAAAGATGGTAAATCATTTTCAATTGATACTTTTTTTCTTCAAAGTTAGTCTATCTTTTTCATTTTTCTTCTTTTCTCTTCTTTTTCCTTTTTTCTTTTCCATTCCACTACCATTTTCACCTTTTTCTTCATCTTTTTCCATCCCATTTTCTATCAGTCTCTTTTTTTTTTAGACTATTTGAAAAATGAAAATTATTTTGCATTGATGTGTAATACATTGTACCTTATACAGCTGTACAAGCATGAGAACAAAGCTTCTCGCAGCTTATTTATCAATCATAGTCAAATATGGCCAGTTACTGTTATTGGCCAATTATTGCTTTAATTAATCATAAAGAAATGTTAGAGATTAATAAAATTTTATAAAATTTCAATATGACTAAGTTTTATATTTAAACATAATTTAATAGAAATTAATGATAAATATTTAAAATGGCAAAAAAATATTGAAAAAAAAATTTTTAACAAAAAGTATTGCATGAAATTTGACGATCATAAAATTGTATTAATAGTTAAACTAATTGTAGTAATTTAATAAATAAAGAAATGTTAAAGATTAGTAAATTTTATAAAATAAACATATTAGTGAAGATAGAAAAAAAAAAGAATAATATTTAAACAATAAAAGTAGCTTAAAATTAAATATATGATATTATAAAAAAAAATGATCATTCGTTATTTCTATTCTATCAAGAAAATTGTATACATTTAGATTTTTTTTTATTTATTACAGAAAATTTTCACAAGGTTATAAAATTGTATTTTCATTATTTACAAAAGCAGTAAGAAGAGATGCAATAAGTAAATCGTTTTCCGCAAAATTTGATTTTCCTTTTTTTTTTTTTCTTTCGAAAAAACCATGAATGAATTTTTCTAAATTGATTAATTTCATTTGAAAAAGATGAAATTTTAATAGCAGTATTTTCCACGAAATTAATTGCAACTATTTAAAATGAAAATAAAATTAAGATCGAAATACCAAGAATGTTGTTAAATGCTTTATGATCATCTGTTAGTTGCAATATCCAAAAGAACTTAAAATTGTAAATTTAAATTAAATTTAAAGTTGTAAATTTACTTTATTTAATCTAAAATATTTTAATAATTGTCCTCAGAAAAAAAAAAAATGCCTTTTCTCATTTTGTTTATTTACTTATTATTTTTGCTAATTTTAAAATAATATCAGTCAATGCTTGAAATATTTTTTTAAACTATCAATTACTCAAATTATATTGAAAAATACATTATTGATTGATTTAAAAACGAAAATGAATTTTTGCAACATTCATATGCAAATTTCCTCAAATTTAGGTCGTCGTTTCGAACTTGATTCCGATTCTTGACTGCTACTTGTTCGAATTTCAGCTGATTCTAGTGTTGGAGAGCTTTTGATAGCGCCTGATCCTTCCTGTTCACCCCTACCGCCACCAGTAGCACCACCGCCAATAGCACCACCGCCAATAGCACCACCACCGATAGCACCAGCAGTACCATCGCTAGCAGCAGCAGTAGTAATAGGAACATTTGAGTAGATGAGTACCGGATCATTATGTGCTGTAATTACCGTACAAATCGAATCACGAGAGCTTTTTGGTGGTAATATTGAGGGAGCGGTGCTACTGGAGTGGAATCATTTCACCTGTTACATTTCCACTTTTAGACATGCTTTGATTGTTGAGCTAAAATTTCAGCCCAAAGTTCTCGTCTACTATCACTAATCTTTTCCTGGGTTGGGTAAATTACGTAAGATTGCTTTAAAAACTGTTAACAACTACCAGATCCTATTGGAAGCTGTTGAGCTGGACGCCAATTTTTGTTAACTGATACGGATATTTCATTACTAATACTTTTGGTTGTTGCAGCAGATGATACCGAATCAAAAGGTGGAATGATATATGATCCAAGAGGTGATGGTGCTAATCCTAATGTTCCTCCTAATGGAGTTGGTGTAACTGCATTTTCTGCACCAGACACCGTATAGATGGGCGATGATAATGGTTGATTGCGATTTTGTGGTGACGCCAAATCATCCTATAATTTTTAATTTTTAGGTAGCTATTTTATTCTAAATTTTAAATATTTAATTTTAATCATATACTTATAAAATTGAATTTTTTTTTTTTTGTTTCGTAAACATTTGCAATGTACAAATTCAAATGATTGCAAATTTTTTTTTTCATATTATGAAATTGACATATTTGTTAAAAAATTCAAAAAATAAAACAAATGGAAACCATAAATTTGGCATAAACTGCATCCATTAAAAAGACTTGCACAATTGGTCCCAAATCTGGCACCTCCAATGATTTCTTCATTATTTTTTGACGCTAGAAAAATTTTAAAAAAACAATTTTTTTTTTCGAATTTATAAAAATTTAATTTGAATAATTTATCTGCCATTTTTAAATAATCCTTATAATCTCAAGTTTTTTAAGAAAAAAATTAAATGAAGCAAATAGGAAGGAAATAAAATAGCAAACATTATCAGCCACATGAATAATTTCCTTGAAATTAACATTATCCAAAAGAGCTGACGCATAACAAATATGTTCAGGATTATTTTGAAGCCAAAATATGATCGCTTCATAAATTTCTAATACCCATTCAGGTCCTTGTAATAGTGGTGAAGAAAGAAGTGCGTAAAGCAATTCGAATGATAACTAAAAAAAAAGGAAAGGAAAAGGAGAGAGAGAGAGAGAGAGAAGAAGAAGAAGAATATTAATTAAATGTAAAAAAAAATTTTTACATTTAGCTAATTGCTTTGAAATAATAATGAAAACAAACAAAAACAAAAAAAAAAAAAAAAAATTATATATAGAAAAGAAATTATTTCTTTTCTTTTTTTTACTTCTGAAAATTTTGGGCTTGCCAGAATATCATGAAATTTTATTGCTGCACCATCAACAACCATATTACGATATTGTGATTGTCTAAATGTAAGATAAAAAGTAATGATAAGGAAAAATTGCGATAAAATAATTTTTTTGAGAATAATATTATTGTCTCATTCAAGATTATAACAAAATTTCGTGCAGCAATTAGACTTGTTCTTTTTTATTAAAAGATGACAAAATCTGCTAGAAGCTTTGAAGCTATAAACAGGTAAACATTGATATATACATGATTATATGATTTAAAATGAAAAAATTAATTAAACAAACGGAGGTAAACAAGCAATAGCTGAGTAAAGTAATGAAATTGGTGGTGATGTATTTTCTAATATGCGTTCAGTCATTTCTTCACAAATTAATGATACCAATGAAGTCACCTGAAAACTTTTGTGTCAAAATTTTTTTTAAAAAAAAATTTAACTGCAAACACAATCATATCTACTGATCATAACTATAATTTTATTGGATTGAAAGATTTGCTTGTCATTTATTTTAATTATTAAAAAGATTATTTGCCTCTATTTAATCACTATGATTTTTTACTATTGTCGCGGATTTTAATATCGCGATCTAAAAATATGATTTGCAAATTGTAGTATTAAGATATCTACGTAATTTCCGCAAATAATGCTTATACTTCGGACTCTTTGTTTCCAAATTTATGCTTCTACATATTGAAACAATTTACATCGTTCTTTGTTAGCAATCCTTACAATCATGAGGATATCTACATTGTTCTTTTGTTAGCTATCATAATCATGCGGTTATCTAATAAGCTCTTTATTAGCAACTGGTGCCCATGCAAGCACCTCCTCTCCTTTGTTTGGATCATTGTCTAACATCAATGTAGATTTATAACCATACTATTGTCAATTAGATCAGTTTAAAAATCATCAATCCTCGAATCAGTTTATTCAATTTGTTGCCCAAATATTTAGCTGGCATCCAACACATCTCCTGACATCAAACTTCTCCCCGAATAACAATTTAACCAAATCATAAGGTTTGTTTCCAAAAACATTTTTGCTTCCACTACAATTTTGGTGCTGAGCCGGACATGTCCGACAGTATAAGAAAAGGAAGCGAATTATCGAAGTCGGAACTCTAGAACTTCTTAAAAACAAGTGAACTCGATCTGACCTCCGTCTCAAACACTATCACGAGGGAACTTCAGCATCAATACGAAATAAATTGCGAATCGTCAGGAGAAGATCGCACATCTCGAATATTATGCTGGGTTACTCGAAACAGCTAATCAAATTGGCTGGATAATATTCAGAGCTTGACAATAACGAAAGGAGAGGAGACGAAATATCTTTGCCAATATGGTTGACGATCCACAAGGTATTTTAAGTTTAATCACTAGAACAAGAGAAACTATTATTACCCTTAAAATACATACTGATGAATATTGCTCGGTACTACAACATTTAAAACAAGAAGAGGTCAAAGAATCATTTCAGAATAGTATGTTCACACAAATCAAGCAGAAATAAAACTTCCTCAATTACCACTAATAACGTTTAGTGGGGATCCAAATTGTGGAGGCAATTTTGGTGTAGTTTCAAGGCAGCAGTCCATGAGCAAAGCATCCCAGATATTCAAGTTAAACTATCTGATATCAAGTCTTAAAAGTGCTTTGTTATCTGTAAGAGGTTATGATATAGCGCCAGAAAACTACGATGTTATAATAGGTTTACTAAAAGAAATATGGTAACCTTTCCTTATAAAAAGAAATCACTCTACAACGAGTTGAATACCATCAAAAAAATGACCGAGAGTGGAAAGCAACCATAGAAGCCATGGAGAACATTTCGACAACTGGAAATGGTGAAAATTTAAAATTCAAGCATCGAAATTACAATTGAAAATAAACTACCAGCGTGGATAATTGATAAATTATACCAATTGAAAGAGGATTCGACGAGTTGGTCAGTTAAGGATATCCGGCAGTACCTGACAAAACTAGTTCTAAGAAATGAAGAAGTTGCTAGAAGTCAAGCAGACACAAGGGAGAAGAAAACAAATAAAAATAATGTTAGAGGCGAAACGTCAGCTTTCGCCACAATCAACCAAACAAAGGGAGATAATACAATCAAATCAAAAAAGGTTCAGGAAAAATTTCTATAAATGGGAAAAAGGAAACCATGCGTATTTTGCAATAAGGACCACTGGAACAATGAATGTAACATCTATCCCACTCTCGGATGGAACGTTTGAGAGAAATCACTACATGTTTCAAATGTTACGAAAGGACATGCAACAAGTGATTGTAAAAAGGGAAACCTTTGTGTTTCCATTGTAAAGATCCACACAATACAACACTGTGTCCCAACAACTACAAGGAACTCACGCAAGCAGTGGATTCCAACAAAGAAGGTTGGGTTCAGTCACAATCATAACTCCATTACCGAAAAAAGGAAATCAATGGAAAAAGCGAACCTTACTGTTATGTAAGGAAATAAATGTAACCAATCCAAATCGCCCAAAAATCCAACAAAGGCTTTTAATTCTATTCGATATTGGTTCTCAATTATCGTTCATATCAAAGGATTTGGCTTATCGATTGAATCTACAAGAAACTAACGAGATGGAAATAAAAATTGCTTCATTTGGTATTAAGACGCCAAAAACGTGTATCACTACTAAAACTGAAATCGGAGTAAAAATTGGAAATAAAGAAATAATCCGATTAGATGTAATAACAGTTAACCATGACGAATGAATTGCAAGTAGTTAATCTAAACAAAGGAATTGTTGATGATAGACAAACGAAATCAGTTTAGTAATTTCAAAAACAAATGGAAACAACCGGACATACTCATAGGTGCGGATCACTTCTTCAAGTTTATCCAGTTTGACCAAGCAGAGAACTTAAATCAGGATTTTCATTGATCCATACAAAGGTTGGACCTATAATAGCTGGAAGTGGGTATATAAATGAAATACACGACAGTATTTCAGAAACCACATCAGTAAGTCCGATTTCTCAAGTCAATGCCGTCAATATTCCAGACTTAGATCCTTTGGAAACTGGAAATAATGGGTATACAAGACAAAATAAACTCTGACAATGATGAAAAAGCATTGCAGCAATTTAAACAAACTATCACTAGGGACAAGGGAAGATATCAAGTTTGTTGGCCTTGGAAAGATTCAAAGAACAAACTAAGCGATAATTTCGGACTTTGCCTTGGAAGATTAAAGTCGTTATTAGGAGGCTTCAAATGAAACCTCAATTACTAAGTCGATACAATCAAACTATTGAAGAACAACTCAATTCCAATATAATTGAAAGTGTCATCGGAAATGAAGTTGGTATTCATTATCTGCCTCATCACGAAGTAATAACACCAAATAAAACCACGACAAATCTGGATAGTTTATGATGCATCAGCTCATTGTAAAAGGAATGAAAAGTTTAAATGATGTTTTATATCGGGGACCAATAACACTCCCTGATTTGGCTGGAGTTTTGCTACGTTTCCGTACAATGAAAAATGTAATAATAGCAGACGTAGAAAAGGCGTTCTTGCAAATAGAATTGCATCCAACAGATAGAAACTGCACTCATTTCTTTGGTTGAAAGACTTCGAAGTCCAGTTAACGAAGAAAACGTAAGTTGTTACCGTTTCCAACGAGTTCCATTTGGAATTGTATCATCTCCATTTTTATTGTCCGCCACTCAATTATCATTGGAAACTTGTAAAAGCAAAAATCGCACTCGAGTTAAGAATCTCTATGTCGATAACATAATACCAACCAAAGGAACCAACGAAGCTCTTTCCAATTATAAGGAAATTAAAATTATATTCAATGAAGCATCAATGAATGTACGGGAATTTCTCTCTAACGACCAAGAAGTCAATGAAAAACTTCCGGTACAAGATCGAGCAGAGGTAAGTTCAATTAAAAAATTCTAGGTCTCAATTGGTACCACAAACAAGATATCATTCAAGTAACGTTAAAACCATGGTTTGGTAAAGAAAATTAACTAAAGAATTATAATTGCAATTCATGTACACACAATATGACCCACTAGGATTCATAGTTCCTATACTGATAAGATTCAAATTGTTTCTCCAAACTTTGTGGAAAAAGAACCTTTCATGGGATCAAACTATAAGTGAGGAAGATGAAACCACGTGGAAATACTCACGAACGAATATTAAGAAACTAAAGGATCTACCAAGATTCACAACAAATTGTTCCAAGCAAGTACAATTTCATGTTTTTACTGACGCATCAACTGCTGCATACTCAGCAGCTTTATACATTCGAACTCAAAAGAAGAGAAGTATTCTTAGTGTTTGCTAAATCCCAATGCGCCAATTAAAGGAATGTCAATACCTCGATTAGAATTACTGGCAATACTCATCGGGTGAGAATGGTACAATTCGTATTAAAACAAAAAAAGAGCTTGAGGACGTGATAACAATTTTATGGTCCGATTCTCAATGTGCGCTTCATTGGGTTCACAATAGTTCCCGTTTACTACCAACGTTCATACAAAATAGGGTAGAAGAAATACGAAAGGCGAAAAAAAATCCATTTTAGATATATCCCAAGTGAACAAAACCCAGCTGATATAGCTACAAAAGATCTCCGAATAAACTAAGGATATGATCTTTGGTGGAAAGGACCAAAGTGGTTAACAGAAAAACGAATCAAAATGGCCACAGTGGAAATACAATTACAATGAGGATTACCAGGATGAAGAAATTGTGGCCCACACAGAACCAATTATCATAAACAAACATTTGAATCTTAGATGCTAGTCGTTTTAGCAAATGGTCAAGATTAATAAGAACAACTGGTTGGGTTCTGGTCATAAGATTAACAATGAAAGGGAAATTCCTTGGCTAAAGATGGCAACGAAAGAAAAGAATATATTGACAACACAGGATTACGAGTTGTCAGAAAATTGTGCTATTCAAACAAGCACAGTCAGAAGGAGTTACCAAAGATGAAATAATCAAATGGAATTTGTTCTATGATAACGAACTATGGAGATACAAAAGCCGCGTAGTTAACTCTGAAATGAAAGAGTAACTTTACCCAATATATCTCCCGAGACACAACACCATAACTGAAATCTTTATTCAGCAACGACATGAACAACTGTATCATGCTGGAATTGCTCATACACTCTCAAATCTGAGATCGACGATATGGATCCCAAAAGGTAGAACGGAAGTCAAACGAATCTTGAATAAGTGCATGAAGTGCAGACGCTGGACAACTAAACCATTCAAATTACCAACTATGGCTGATCTTCCAGCATCTCGGACCACAAGATCAAGACCCTTTGCGCGAGTAGGACTAGACTATTTAGGTCCTGAATATCAGGAGTGATAATGGGCTAACAAAAGATGGGTAGCACTATTCACATGTTTCACAACAAGAGCTGTACATCTAGAAGTAGTAAACTCTTTCAGCCGAAAGCTTTTTACATGTTTTCAGAAGATTTACAGCAAGACGAGGCTTTCAGAATTAATCTTAAGCGACAACGCTGGTCAATTCCAGTTAATTTTTTAAAATCATTGTGAAACAACAATTAAATGAATTCCTAGCGGAAAGGAAAATGATCTGGAAAATATAATACCAAAGGCGCCTTGGAACGGAGGAGTATGAGCGACTTATTGGGTTAACAAAAAGGGCAATGAAAGGAGCCATCGGCAGAAAGTTATTATGGGAACGGGAATTGATTACGCTAGTAGCGAGTGGAAAATATTTGAATACTCGACCACTAACTTACGTAAATTTGATGATTGTATCATATTGCGTCCAATTGACTTTATACTACCGAATGCGCATCTAATCATGCCTGCTAAAAACAAGAATGAAATGGATGATTTTATCCCTCATAAATTGGATTCGAAAAAAAACTCATTCAATACTGGTCAAATACACTAAAGGCCCTCGATGCCTTCTGGGAAATATGGAAAGAGGAATATTTAAATACTCTTAAAAAGAAGAGCACAAAGGGAACACTCTTCTCCGAGATGTAGTAAAAAGAACTCCCCACGAGGGAGATTGTGTTACTAAATGAACCAGAAATTCCCCGTGGCATGTGGAAACTAAGCCGAATAAGAGAAATCAAAACAGGAAAGGATGGAGAAGTGAGAAGTGTCTCGATAGAATTACCGAAGGAGAAAATACTCAACAGACCGGTGAATATGTTACCACTGGAAGTCAAGGTGAGGAAATTGACCCTCAACCAACAATGTTTAACAAATCAGTGCAAAATGTCAATGAACAAGAACCAATTGCTCTACGAACTAGAAGCGCTATAAGGCGAAGCAATCAACCAAAGCTGTCCAACGAACTAAAGCATTTAGCTCCTTCGGTCGGGAGTGTCGCGGATTTTAATATCGCGATCTAAAAATATGAGTTGCAAATTGTAGTAAAGATATCTACGTAATTCACAAATAATGATACTTCGGACTCTTGTTTCCAAATTTATGCTTCTACATATTGAAACAATTTACATCGTTCTTTGTTAGCAATCCTTACAATCATGAGGATATCTACATTGTTCTTTGTTAGCTATCATAATCATGCGGTTATCTAATAAGCTCTTTATTAGCAACTGGTGCTTATGCAAGCACCTCCTCTCCTTTGTTTGGATCATTGTCTAACATCAATGTAGATTTATAACCATACTATTGTCAATTAGATCAGTTTTAAAAATCATCCAATCCTCGAATCAGTTTATTCAATTTGTTGCCCAAATATTTGCTGGCATCCAACACATCTCCCTGACATCAACTTCTCCCCGAATAACAATTTAACCAAATCATAAAGGTTTGTTTCCAAAAACATTTTTTTTTTTGCTTCCACTACAACTATATCATTTAAAAATTTTTTGTTAAGGTATATTTTCAGAATTCAGGCATTTTGTTCTATCTGTATTGGTTTATCTTGATTACCTATTAGCTTATCAATTCTTCGTTTCGCCTATTTTTGATACATTTGACTTTGTCAACTATTTCTTTCTTGATTTCATCTTTTTTTTCTTTTTAAAAAAAGCATTATTTTAATTCTAAATTCTTTATTATTAAGTTAAGTTTAATATACTTACTTGAAGATCATTAGCTGCTATTAGAACATTCTCCAATTCATTTTCTAAAAATTTGATTTGTCCACTTTGAATGAAAGCTACCACATTATAGAGACCGGCATTCGTAATATTTGGCATATCATTTAAATGAACTGTGATTTCTTTACCCGATGAAAGTGTTTCTTGTGTTGCCTAAATATAATGTTTCTAGGATAATTACCCATTTAAAGTTATTTAAAATTTTAATTAGTTTAATTATACTTTCATTAGTTTAATTATATATATATATTTTAAAAAGGAAACGACCAAATATTTAAACAATTACAAATTTTGTACAACAAATATTAATTAATTCAATTAAAATTTACTTGTGCTGAAATAAGTTTGCGAAAGATATCCGAGAATGCAGTAAGTAAACATGCAGGTGCATTACATGAATATCCATTTTCAAGCACAATTTTTACTCGATTTTTAATACCAATATTTGCTGACCACTTTAAATATACTTCAGCTTCTAATCTATCAGTACGCAATTCATCCTTAAATGAAAATAAAAAAAAAAAAAATGGTTAAATATAGTCAAGAAAAACTTTGAAAATATTTAATTTCAAATAAATCATTAAAATATTTTTTAGCAAAATTTATTCTTTTACCTTTAAACTTTTTTTCATCTTTTTTTCTTTTTTTTTTAAATCATAATAATACATTGAAATTTCTCAATAATTTAATGCAGGTATAAAAATGTTCTCAAATAATCTCAATATGTTTTTCCTTTCACATTTTTCTGTTTTTTTTTCTTTTATGCTTAAATATAAATATGCTTTTTTAGCAATTAATTATGATTAATTAAATTAATTGGAACCTTCAAATACTTTTTGCGAATATCTCCTGGTACAACCCATACAGCATCCAACGCAAGTCGCTGTTGTAATTGCGGGACTCCTTCCTGCGATCTGCCGTACCACATCTGATAGAAGCATGCAAATGATGCGTTGCAGTAATTCGAATCAAATAAATTAGTTTTTCTTAGTAAATAAATTTGCATATGAATGTTGCAAAAAATTCATTTTCGTTTTTAAATCAATCAATAATGTATTTTTCAATATAATTTGAGTAATTGATAGTTTAAAAAATTATTTCAAGCATTGACTGATAATATTTTGAAATTAGCAAAATTAATTAATACAATTTGAATAATTGATAGTTTTAAAAATTATTTCAATTTGTTTATTTACTTATTATTTTTCCTAATTTTTAATTAATATCAATTAATGCTTGAAATAATTTTTAAAACTATCAATTATTCAAATTGTATTAATTAAATCAATCAATAATGCATTTTCACCGGTACGTATATTCCATTCTTTCTTTAGCATATTCACTGATAAACTGTTAATAAATGAACTTTTGGCTCCTACAAAGCAATCTAATAAGAATAAAAAATGCATGAAATTGTCTTAAAAGATAATCATAACACTGCACGAAATATTTCTAATTTCTTTAAATAAAAGCTTCAAACTTTAAATAAAATTTTTTTAAAGAAAAAGGCATTGTCCTAAAATAATTGTAAACGATGAGTCATTTTATTGAAATTTTTGCTTTGCAATCTTTTTTTCGCAATCTAAGTTAATTTTAGGTAGTAATTTTGTAATTAAACCAATAATTGGATACATCTCGATGAATAAAACCTATGGTTAGCAATTTTGTTTACTAAAGCAAATGTCTATTAAAGATGTTTTGCATTTAATGATTTTGATGGATTAAATAGAATCAAAAAGACATTAAATAACTATAATTTTTGCTTCTTAGTTTTGTTTGGGAAAAAAGTTATACTATATTAATGTGTTATGATGAGAGTATATTTATCATAGTATTTTGTATAAATAAATGTGTATGTCACTTTTTTTTTTTTTTTTTATACTTATACGTCTATATTTCGATTTAATTCGTGTACTATGGTTGATAAAGACGATATCATACGCTTCATTGTTAGCCTGATGATATATTTATTGGTTTTTTGCCCTTGAGGATTTTATGCGAAACTGACAAATACTATTGCTACTACTAATAATAATAATAACAATAATAATAATAATGATAATAATAATAATTAATAATAATAATAATGATAGCAGCAACAACAATAATAATAATAATAATAATAATAATAATAATAATAATAATAATAATAATAATAAGAAACTGATTCATTTGAAAAGAGACTCGAGATGAAAAAACATATATATGCGATTAAAACGTTATGAAGTATTATACAAAATTATCAAAACCGATTAGAAAAGGAAATGAAACAAACAATATTCTATGTCTTCTCAAAAATTATTGCCTTTACTAGGACTAGGAACCGGATCATTTTCTTTAAAATCAATGAAATTGAACGTTTTTCTTAGCATTTTCAATTGCGCTATTTTCAAAACAAAAGATAATAATGCCTTATGGATGAAATTGTTTTATACCAAGCCTTCAGCGGTAACACAAGACAAATCATAGTATTCTAGCGAAACCAAGAAAAATTTAGCAAACCACGCCAAAACCCCGGGTTTTAATTGGTTTGCTGGATGACAATGTTTATTTGCGTTACGAAACCATGATTATAGCGAAAATTAGCATCTCCATGTGCCAAACATTAACATTTTCATATACGCTATCAATATAAATAGAGTTTGGGACTAAATTAAAATGAGGAAGTCAAGTGGTTAGAAATTCATTTTTGACATTGGAAATTAGTCATAATTACCAATTAGCAGTAAATTGCCGTGAAAATATTCATTTTGTACCAATTTTATTACTTGGACAAGGGAAGAAACAAAAATTTTGTAAAAATTAAAGCTTTTCGCATTTAATATTATCTCTTTGTCTATTTAAACTTATCTCTTTATCTCTTTGTTTCTAAAGTTAACTTTTAAAGTTTAAAGTCAGCATAAAATGTCAAAAAAAAGTCAATAAGATGTCAGCAGATCAAGTGTAATGCAAATAAAAGTAATAAATTAAGTTCAATAAATGTTCATTTTAGAAAAGGAAACTTTTCTCAAAAGAAAAAAAAAATTTTTTTTTCTCAAAAGTATAAATCTCTTCGAAAAGGAAGTTAATAACAAATAGCTTTTGTCTTTTTTGCAATAATTTAATTATTAAATTTATTTATTGTTAGTTTAGAAAATGCTTAAATTAATTAAGCATTATTTAAGTTAATTTCTTGTACCTTTTCCAATCTAATCATTTTATTATTTTCTTTTTTTTTATTTTAAAATTAAACGAAATATGCATTTAAATTCATTTTTTTCATGTGGTCTTATTTAGGAAAATTTTAAGAAATTATTGCCTTCAACTTACTGCATTTAAAATTGTTTGTTAAATGACAATTATTATATCAATAAATTAATTAAGATCATTATAAATTATCATAAATGATTGAATCATTATAAATGATATCAAATTAACATCTAATAAATGATTAATCATTTCATTTAAATTTTATTTTTACAAGACAAAACAAAAATGAAAAAAAATCATTTCTAATCACTTCGTGTCAGTTTTCACGTGCCTGTCGTTTCTTACGTAATTCTTTGCGACTTTCTGGTGGTTCAGTTCGTAATGGGATTTGCTCAATTTTAGGTCGTCGTTTCGAACTTGATTCCGATTCTTGACTGCTACTTGTTCGAATTTCAGCTGATTCTAGTGTTGGAGAGCTTTTGATAGCGCCTGATCCTTCCTGTTCACCCCTACCGCCACCAGTAGCACCGCCAATAGCACCACCGCCAATAGCACCACCACCGATAGCACCAGCAGTACCATCGCTAGCAGCAGCAGTAGTAATAGGAACATTTGAGTAGATGAGTACCGGATCATTATGTGCTGTAATTACCGTACAAATCGAATCACGAGAGCTTTTTGGTGGTAATATTGAGGGAGCGGTGCTACTGGAGTGGAATCATTTCACCTGTTACATTTCCACTTTTAGACATGCTTTGATTGTTGAGCTAAAATTTTTCGCATTTAATATTATCTCTTTGTCTATTTAAACTTATCTCTTTATCTCTTTGTTTCTAAAGTTAACTTTTTTAAAGTTTAAAGGTCAGCATAAAATGTCAAAAAAAAAGTCAATAAGATGTCAGCAGATCAAAGTATAATACAAATAAAAGTAATAAATTAAGTTCAATAAATGTTCATTTTTAAATGATAATTAGAAATAATTGAAATACATTGAAGACTTAAAAAGTTTTTCTAAATCTTGTCTTAATTGAATTCTACCAATGCTATAAAAATTATTTAAAAATGAATGTTTTTGAACATGATTTATTTAAAAATGAATGTTTTTGAACATGATTTAATGCGAAAAAAATTTCTTTTATCCTTTATCGAAAAAAAAAGATTTATGAATAATATCGAACACAGAAACAATTAATTCATTATTTTTAAAAATTAAAAAAAATTCACTTTTACTTTTTCTTGATAAAAAATAAAAAAAAAAAAATGAAGTATTGGGAAACTAACCGATGAATCAGTAATTCATAAAGCCATTGAATTATTTTAATATGAACATTGATACCATTCATACCATCCACGTATAACATCACTTGACCTAATGCTACAATTAATTTGTACATTATTTTGAACCCTGTACTGACATTGAAATAATTTTAAAGCAACTTAAAATTCAAAAGGTCAAATTTATTCATTTTTCACTCTCTCTCCCAGATTCTCTTCAATTTATTTCTTTTCTTTAAATCCAAAATATTTCTGACATTTATACTAACTTCAAACTTTAAAAGTTAACAAAAGCAAACTTTCATTGCAGAAATTAATTAAATCTGCAAGTATAATTGATTTCAACTATTTTTAAATATTAAAATTAATTTTAGTCACAATTCTAGATAGGGTTACTTAAGAAATTTCGACAGTTTTTAAAAGTTTTAATAAATTAAATATTAGAAACGATTTAATTTTTATTTATTTCTGTTTCAATTAAAATCTGCAAATGCTGGGAAAAATACAATTCATTTAAAAATGAACATTTATTGAACTTAATTGATTACTTTTATTTGCATTACACTTGATCTGCTGACATCTTATTGACTTTTTTTGACATTTTATGCTGACTTTAAACTTTAAAGTTAACTTTAGAAACAAGAGATAAAGAGATAGTTTAAATAGACAAAGAGATAATATTAAATGCGAAAAAAGCTTTAATTTTTACAAAATTTTGTTTCTTCCCTTGTCAAAGTAATAAAAATTGGTACAAAATGAATATTTTTCACGGCAATTTACTGCTAATTGGTAATTATGACTAATTTCCAATGTCAAATGAATTTCTAACCACTTGACTTCCTCATTTTAATTTAGTCCCAAACTATTTATATTGATAGCGTATATGAAAATGTTAATGTTTGGCACATGGAGATGCTAATTTTCGCTATAATCATGGTTTCGTAACGCAAATAGCAAACATTGTCATCCAGCAATACATTACAATTTTAGCAAACCAATTAAAAACCCGGGGTTTTGGCGTGGTTTGCTAAATTTTTCTTGGTTTCAGAATACTATGATTTGTCTTGTGTTACCGCTGAAGGCTTGGTATAAAAACAATTTCATCCATAAGGCATTATTATCTTTTTGTTTTGAAAATAGCAATTGAAAATGCTAAGAAAAACGTTCAATTTCATTGATTTTAAAGAAAATGATCCGGTTCCTAGTCCTAGTAAAGGCAATAATTTTGAAGACATAGAATATTGTTTGTTTCATTTCCTTTTCTAATCGGTTTTGATAATTTTGTATAATACTTCATAACGTTTTAATCGCATATATATGTTTTTTCATCTCGAGTCTCTTTTCAAATGAATCCTATATTATTATTATTATTATTATTATTATTGTTGTTGCTGCTATCATTATTATTATTATTAATTATTATTATTATCATTATTATTATTATTGTTATTATTATTATTAGTA